GTAGAAAAAGTTATACTTACACGAGAGTCTGTAGCAATAGTGCCGAAATACGAGGGCAAATTTGAGTTGACTGAAGAAACAATAGCCCGTACCCCCTTTTATACAAACATATCCAGAAAACATTGACGTGAAAACCTGCGCAAAACACGTCACTGGCACAATTTATGAATTTCGGATGTACGTTAAGGTGAATCACAGTTTACTGTACCATACTTGACCTCACGACAAGACATCGTCTCGCCTACGCTCACCACATTCTGTCAGATTGATGTTGGTAAACAATTTATCACCCGAGGCCTAAAAGCTCCGGAGTAACGTCACAACCCTGTCTTAGACCAGTGTCCTCTGTGGCTATAATTAATCCACTTTTTGCGTATGCATCCACTACTTTCCTGTCTCGCAAGATTTATGCCGGAGAACATGGGGGTTAATAATGTTTATGTTTTACGAAACATCACGCTTTCGTTAAAAAGATATTTAAATTACGTAACATACAAGAAATACTGAACCCACTGCAGGTGTGTGACGGATGTCTCTCCTTGTGTATTTCATCACGTGTTTTATATGTTAAACATGAAACATTTCTGGTTTACTGCGTATAGCGACGTTTCGATGTAGATACTTATACCGTTATCATGCTTGAGTGACAACAACCAGGTGATGAGATGTATATGTGCATGACATGTTGTGATAAGCTTCTCGGCCTTGTTCTGCCATATTTAAACTTCAAGGGAATTATGGCAATTCTTTTATTATGTATCCATGTCACATGCACGTAACTATTTAAGTATCAGGCCGCCAATTTGAAAAAGAAAACTGATCAGACTGGTCGGAAACATTTACTTTTCCCCAATGTATAGTTGTTGCCATAAGACTGTTGACATTTTGGCCACAAAGAAGTTTCCTGTTTAAGTACTTTATATTTTTATCGACTGTGTGTCATGGCGATTTAGCAATGGCAGGAGACGAAACGGCGGTACTGATTGTCGTTCTGTTAATATATTGAAAGATAGCTAAGATCGTCAAATTTCTAGGTGATACAAGTTAGGTTTAGAGGCAGGAAGTCCACGACCAACACATAAACATTGAATGGCCAAACCCCAATTGATAGACAAAGCACTTTCGCACCATAGCTATGTCCTGTATCTCAATCTATTCGTGTTTCTTGGGTTGTTCCATTGTATGAAATAGGTAATAGACTAGGGATTAGCAGTGCCATGGACCGTGAACTTTGTTGTCTTAAGCTGTAGGGGAAATGGGATGTAGGGGTTTTGGGAGGTTACCGTCCTGTATACTGGCCCGTTTCGGCAAATATCTGCTGCTTTTCGTATATGAAATTACTAAGACACGTGTGATTGATCAACTATCCGACAGTGTGAATTAATTACGCTAACCGTTTTACATTGTGTGGAAAAAGGGAATTTCTAAAGTGTGGCGACGACATCTAAACGTGAGTCGACGCCATATTATAAACAGCTTGTGTCAAGGTCGCTGTCACATGTGTTACCTCGACCCCAGTTTCTGTCGAAGGTACACACGATACAAACATAATACAACTATTGAAAACATCAACTTTACGTCTGACATAATGACACCGATTCCTTTTCGCATTTGAGTCAACCGCTTATGGATACGATGTGCTGTTAAGTTCTATTTCGATTTATTTTTCCTTTCCCTGAAGCTGATAATGGCGCTATGACTGGTTTGCTAAAAAAGTATTTTCCGTGTGTTTAGACATACATGTAAGATGCTGTGATTGTACAAGATAACTGATAACTATTTATGAATGTATATATATTATCAAATACACATTATAAATCTCCTAAGAAAATGGAATATTTTATCTTAACATGATAGGGTTTGTGTTTCCAACATTCTGCAATGGAATCTAATTAATATTAGATTTACAAGTTATTGATATTGACTGTACACTCCATTATCGTAAGATTATATATCGCAAGTCTAAACTTTTATTTGATATGTTATCAGTATCGTCAGCAATGAGTAAACGCTTTGTTTTTTTCGTTCAATGACGTTACAATCTGCAATTATATTTGTATAGGCTAATAATAGATCGCTGTGAATTTGTCGTTTGACCTCGCGTGTTGTGGCGCGGATGACGTCACGTCAAACAGCTGTTCTGATGTGCAATCTCATTTTCGGCTACTTCCATCAAGCCTGGAAATGCCAACGCCCTCTGTTGGCAGACTGAAATTGTAAACAAAATCAATCTTGCCTAAGAGCAAGATGAATGCATTCTTGTGTATATTTAGAAGGGATTATCTTCACAATGTTAAGTTATGTTATGTTCCCTCCCTGCAGGCTAGTTTCGCTAGGCCAAAATAAAACTTTTCCTTTTGTAGAATGGAATGAAATGGGAAACGTTACTTGAAATAAATCACCACGGATGTCTTTAAATGCACATGTATATATCAAGGTGTACATATAAAAATCATATATATACTATTTTAAAGTCGGATTTATCAAAAAATATATTAAAGGAACTGTCTTATTTTAAGGACTGGCCATAAAAGTATAATTTGAGCAAAGGTCCAAGTAAGACCGCCAATTGCCAAATACGGGGGGAGACGAGGATATATGTTTTCTAGTGGTCACTGTGAGGAAAATATGTTCCGATTCTTCAAAGTACTTCATAATTTCGTCATTTTCTTTCTCACCTAATCTAAATATTATTATTATTATACTGTAAAAATATAATATTTTCCTCCTTTCTCCCAAGTTGACGCTTTCCTCGTATTGAAAATAGCCTACTCTACTGGTTTTAACGCGCACAAACGTGATCGGATCTCATTTTACTTTTGCTCCAATTCATCAGAAGAGAGCAATAATTATCTGAAAATGATGATCAAAACTGACTCTTGTAAGGAAATAGGTAAAAACAAAACACTTTATTAAATCAGCGACGCTGATAGTGTCACGTGACAATTCTGATACGACGATGATGCACATTCAGTTTTGTCGTTGCTTCGTATAGATCTATGTAATGTATGACTGAAGCGGTGTGCGTATCTTGTACAGTAAACTACGTTTATAAAGAACACGCTTTTAACGAACTGACGGATATAAGTGACATAGTTTTTTGTCCCAGCCATTTGCTGTATATATGCTGTAAATAAGCTTATAATGAACTACGGTTATATCGAACTAATATCAGTGGCCCCTTTGAGTTCGTTATAACCGTAGCTATATATAGTTTACTCTTTTTAAGGTTCGAATCCACGCTCCCATCACGGGATTGTCCGTATACCCAGTCGACCAGCTGGAGAGTATGTTCATAAACCATAACACAGCGGGTTCACGTTGGAAAGAATGTTTCAAAGCATGCATGCACGTGTCGATTGACTGAACGATAATGATTGCTATGATGTATCCCTCGCCACGAACCGGGTTCGAATTTGGTCTTCTATAGCCCATGCATGTAAACGGCGACTAGCGGGATCGGGTGGTCAGGCTATCCGACTTGGTTGATGACTGTCATCGTATCCCAATTGCACAGATCGATGCTCATGATGTTAATCATTGGCCTTGTCGTTCATACTCGATTACTGGCAGACCCCTGTCATATGGCTGGATGTATGCGGCGTTAAACAACAAAGAAAAAGTGATGAAGTGTGTTTGTGAACACCACAATGACATATGGGGTAACATATTTTCTTGTATTGCGATGGCCCTGTCGTGATATCATAATTAATACATAATCCCTCTTGGATGCAGTAGAAAGCAATGCCGCGTGACGTGACCTTGTATAATCCAAGTGTATGTCTATATATTTATCTACATACAGCTCTGGATTCGAACCTTGGTATACAAGCAGTTAACCACTTAACCACATGGACCTCCTGTTATGTTGGTACTGACAAGTATTTCATGTTTGCATGTGTGTAACCGTGTGATCACTGGGATTGGTTGTGTACACACACTGACGGGAAGCACTGAACGAGCAGCAACAAAGAGGCTGTGTCTTGCAGTGAATTTTACATGTTAACATACATGTGTGTATTACAGCCAACTATTCTGTTGCATATTGTTATTTAAGACAACCTGCTCATCTGTGACTGGATATGAACTTGTATAACGGCCAAACTGTGTGCATGTTTTGTAGCATATTGTTATTTAAGACAACCTGCTCATACGTGGCTGGCCATGGATACTTCTCTTGAGAGAAGTTTTACATGTGAACTTGTATAACGGCCAAACTGTGTGCATGTTTGGTAGCATATTGTTATTTAAGACAACCTGCAAATGCATGACTGGATAATTCTCTTGAGAGAAGTTTTACATGTGAACATATATAACGGCCAAACCGTGTGCATGTTTTGCAGCATGTTGTTATTTAAGACAACCTGCTCATGCGTGGCTGGATAGTTCTGTTGAGAGACGTTTTATGTATTAATCTAAAGAAATGAATCTATCAATCACCATAAACGACACTCAGGCGCCGTCGATTCAATGGAAAGAAAGTTTGAGGCGTGGTTATTGCTGAAACTCCAATACGAATGTTTGTGGGTACACTTAACGCATCTTTAAAAAGATAATCTCTATGTACCATGTGGTCGAACTATACTACCATTGTTTGTGGGTACACTTAACGCATCTTTAAAACGATAAATGGGATCCACCAGGATAACATGGTGCCTTATGGGTGCTAGGATACAATTATGCTGTGATATCATAAAGACATTTGACGCCAACTTACTTCGATTCAGTGAAGATCGCCATGTGTGATGTCATGTATCTCTGTAATAAGTATGAATTGAAGCTTGTGAATAGTATTTTCTGTGTTCCGAGATGCTGTAGTATATAAATAGTAAATAGTAGTAAATATAATGAAAATTCATAATGTGATTTTTCACCCTTAATGTCCCCTATCACATTGGTGGTGCAAATATCTTATGAAAAAATCCTTTTACAATATTACATGACCTCGTTTTGTAATGTCCGCTTGTGTAGGGAATGTGTAGGAATAAGAAACAACCGACTGATGATTGTACTTTATGCAATAACAATCAAGCTGTTATATCCTTTCTTCTGACATCGATCACCGAAACACTGGTAATCAATTTCACGTTGAACAGCAACAGTCCTGGACAGAACACGTCACATATGTCCACCATGGCTTTAAGTCAATATTGGTCTTTCACAACTGGAAATATACACGTCTTGGATGTTCATTTCGTTAGGCATCCGAATGAATGTTGGGTGCCTCGTTTATCCAGGGTAATTATCCAGTTGTGTGGAAAGTAATAATCCCGGTTTCAAAGATAAAATACAAAATTAAAATAATACCTACACACCTGTCTTAATGTCCATTTCACAGCCCCCATAGAGCACTTATAGAACATCCTACAGGGGCACACTGTCACCATGTTTCATAACCAAACGAAAAGACGCCGATGTCACTTTAAACAACACTAACCATGTCCACGTCCCCTCCATCAATTGAAAAACTTCCGGCTGGGCCGGCGACAGTTGCATCACTTCCGTCTCCGGCTAGAACGACACCACCGCCGGGTATTAGCAGATTGCTCGGGATGACTTGTCCAGGTAGGAAGGTAGGTTTCCACGGATCTCCACTCTTCATAGCGCGGATGTATCCCGCCATGACAACTGGATCCGTTTGCACTTTATTTGAAGACGCCAAAGGAACAACAAGGACGTTTCCGCCGGGGCTGTTTTTCCAGGCAGAGAGAGGCGCTCCGTTATGTCGTTTAAATGGTTTAATTTGTGGCTTAAGATGTTGGTAGCCATGCATTTGAGGATAATGTAGTCTTAATGGTTGTTGGGGAGTCTGGATTTGAGGTTTTGGAACATACGGCATCGGGAATACCTTGGGGTAGCGCAATGGGAACTGAGGATGCTTGGCAGTGAAAGTCTGCGATTGTGGGAAGGAGTTTGTTTTAAGAAGCCATGGTTGCGATCGAACCTCTACTGGGCTTGAGGTTTGAGGTACCAGAGGAATCCCCGAGATCTGAAGTGGCAGAGGAATCACTGAGATCTTGGGTCCCAGCGGAATCCCCGAGATCTGAGGACCCAGGGGAATCCCCGAGATCTGAGGTCCAGTTCCATCAAGGGGAATGGTTATCTCTCTTGGACTTCCTGACCAAATGATGCCTGTGAATGGAAATACAAATAACAAATATATCAATAATGCATAGACAAAACAACCACATAGATTGATTGAGTATGGTTGTTAACTTTTAGCCATTATCCAACAATATCAAGACGAGGGACACCAGAAATGGACTTCGAACACGGTTCTTCGGCGTGACGAACGAACATTTACCAATCTAGAGTGAATGAATGAGTGAGTGAGTATGGTTTTACTCCGCTTTTATTCCAGTAATATCATGGCAGGGGACACCAGAAATGGGCTTCACACATTGCAACGCTTTAACCACTAGGCTACTCCACCGCCCCCGATCTAGTTTGAAAAGAATGAGTATAAATATTCGCATTTGTGAATACGATTTTTTTCTTTCACTTTTTTTGTGCTCTTATTAATTCACATACGGTTTTGTCACTAAAATATTTGTTGTAAAATACATTTGATTGTTCAGGTGATGGTGGCCGTCGGGTAGCCAAGTGGTTAAAGCGTTAGCTCGTTACGCCAAAGACCCGGGTTCGATTCCCGACATGGGGACAATGTATGAAGCCCATTTCTGGTGTCCCCCGCCGTGATATTGTTGGAATATTGCTAAAAGCTGCGTAAAACCATACTCACTCACTCTGTTCAGGTGATGATAACACCTGTTCATAGTAATAAACATATTTGTGTTGAAATGTATGTGAAGAAAAATGTCCTTCTGTCTTTCTATTGTACACCGAAATTACATGTTAACTGTTTATGTTCATTGAAATATTATCATCACATTGAAATTCAAATCATACAACAGCACACCTAGTCGTACGGTGTATACCTACGTTGGCTTGACACAGATCCAATATACGAACAGGCCAACAGAGCTACGAGCGCCGTCATTGTCAATTCCTGAAACAAACAGATGGTAATTAAATCCTTCTCCCGTATACACAGATACAGATGTAACTGTGACAGAATGTGTATGTTCTTATGACAATCGCTTTTTCAGAATCACGTAACTCAAACCATTAAAGTATTCAGATATTGAACCATAAAATTACTAAGAGTGAAATTCAAATAACATCCTATGAACACTCTTAGCTCTACGTTTATAGTACTATATGAAAACTACCGAGTGCGGCAACAAACAAACAAACAAAACAAAACAAAACAAACCTCAAAAACACTAGATTAGAAACCTGCCATACGTACTGGAACAGACAATCCAGTGATTGACATCATCAGCATCGATCTACGCAATTGGGATACGATGACAGACATCAACCAAATCAGCAAGCCTGACCACCCGATCCCGCTAGTGAAATATACCTCTGACTTCCCATGTTTATTATGAAAATGTTAACATCAAAGGAATATCCAAAACACAGGAATATCCTGCCATGATGAAAACACTTTCATTAAGCAATTTTAAGATGTTTGAGGTACACGTACGTCAACAGCTAGACTCCAATTTATCATGACATGCATGTAGATACAGCGTTATGATCATAGGTAAACAAACAAATATTAGTACGAGGATATACTGATTTATCATATAATGGGTAGGTTTCTCGGCAGGATAAAGCCAACGGATACAAACGATATCCGTTGGGGTCATATGCGGATAGAGATGCAAATATCAAAAGTCAAGTAGGGACTACTTTCACTGTTTATAAACAAACATGGCGTCGCCCTCGTCATTCGGCGATCGAGTCAGATTTAACCATCGGGAATCTGGATAAACTACAGAGATAATTGATTTCATTATCAATAGAACAGTCTAATATACTGAAAATCAGTGTCTTACTGTTACATAGCTAAGGCATTTTATAAGTTTTGGTAACTTTGGAGATGTAAATTTCGACACAATTTTGCAAGGGCACGAGGCCTAGCCAAGCGGGATCAGTAGCCATATCTGTGCTTGTAGACCTCTGCGGCTTGAGCCTTTCTCCACAAATTAAAATAGTTGGATTTGGCCGAAATATGTTTGAATTGGTACCCTGTTTCGTTTTGTCGCCGTGTGTAAATCTGACTACACTTTTTAACGTTATGACAGGACCGACCGACTGTCAACAACGTCTGACCGTGGCCGTGACGTCTCATAGACTAGGGTTAGAGTAGCTTCCCTTTGACAAAGGGCAGGTTACTCTAGCAGACAGACCGATGGATTGCCGCGAAAGACAATTAAAAACGATTGTTATTTTGCGTATATGTTGCTTCACCACTGTATAAGAAATCGATTTCAGTTGGAACTATATTGGCTACTGTCACTGTCCGACTGACACATCACTTACTCTGTGACGTATTAAATATTAATGCGCGCATTCCAGGAAAGCTCACAATGTTTCGGTAATGTTTGTGAGAGAGGGAAAGCGATTTTCAAGCACAGAATTAAAGAATGACATTATATGATGAAGAGGTTATCACGCTTGTGTGTTTGGGGATGGTAAATATCCTGTATTAGGAATAAACATATGTATTAAGCTCGCCAAGGCTCGCTAAATACAATGTTTATTCCTAATGCAGGATATTTACCATCCCAAAACACACTCGCGTGATAAGCTCTGTATATAAACAACCCACCTCACTCTCCTTCCAGGCCTCATGTGCTTTTGCAAATATCTACGAGCACTCTAAATAATTATGCTTATATAGCGCCACCTTTGACATGGGGTCAAAGAAGGAATTTCATATGATCAGAAAACTAATATGCACCGACAGGTGTGGCTAAAATATTTATGTGATGTAAGACTTCACGTGAAAGCTGAGTTATGTGGCTGTGGGTTTACGCCCATGAGGGTTATAACCTGAGCCATTTTCAACCTAATAAAGTCACATTGTCATTTCTCAGATCAAAGGGCACACACCTGTCATACCTGGCACTGCATATGTTGTGATTTACAGATGCTGCATGATATACACCTGATAGTATTTGCGCTTCCCTTGGCAGGACTACTGGGGTGTGGCGCCAGAACAGGACATGCTTACCCTTTCGCTGACACCTGGTGTCATCACTGATTTGGACCGCCTCAGTGGTCTAGTGGTAGAGCGCCCGCCCGGTGAGCGGTAGGTCCCGGGTTCGATCCCCGGCCGCGTCATACGAAAATGACGTTAAAAGATGGAACTTGTTGTTACCCTGTCTGGCGCTCGTTATTAAGTGGCTAAAAACAAGGACTGGTCGACTCGGAGTCAGTATACTGTGTCTGAATTGGGTATTTATGCTTTTATGAATAATACAGTGAGTGAGTGAGTGGTCGATTGAGTAAGTGAGTGAGTGAGTCTCGAGTCCATAACTCAACATAGCAGAGAAATCCCCACTAAAAGAGTACAATACATGTATTTTCTAACGTGAACGCCTTTTAGAACAGCACAATGGACTTGTACATATTTTCGGTCATGTCACTTGAATATGGCAGACAGCCCGGGTCCTTTTGCAAACTATACTCTGAAAACCTATAAACCGCCTCCGTGGTCTAGTGGTAGAGCGTCCGCCCCGAGAGCGGAAGGTCCGGGGTTCCATCCCCGACCGCATCATACCAAAAGACGTTTAAAGATGGTACTTGTTGTTACCCTGTCTGGCGCTCGGCATTAAGGGGCTAAAACAAGGACTGGTCGGCTTGGAGTCAGTACACTGTGTCTGAGTTGGGTATTCATGTTAAACTGCGGCATGGTATCTCAGTGAGCTAGCACTATAAATCGGCATCAGTCCGGACAAGTACAAGCAGCCACACACATACATACGCGTGCATGCACGTCGCTATATTAGCGCAATAAATCTTGGACGCGACGTTAAACCCCATTTCACCTCACCTCACCTGAAAACCTATAAAAGTGAAAAGGTAATCCTGAGGTCTCGGATACCACTTTGATGCAATTACCGTGGGTACGTGAAATATTTTAGGAAATGGAGTGCGGGCATTCGGAGTGAGGAGCGACCGTTTTTTCCACGAGGCTAACACTCGCCCCCACCCTCTCCCTCGACAAGACACAGACATTCAGTTAGATATATATGTCTGGTGTTTTTCCCGAAAATGGCGTACAAGTCAATACCCTTTCAACCGGCAAGACAACTTACTTTAACAAGTCCATGCCTCAGGGTTCTCGAGCTGCCACAAATTTAAAGCACCGAATAACTCTACTCATGAATTATTGCAATTACAATGGAGACACCAGATGGTTTTTTTTGTTTTAAACCTGGTGCCATTTTCCTAATTTAATGTCATGTTGTGGGTTGTTGCGCCTTAATATTGTAGTTACAGGCTTCAGACGGACGTGTTTAGTTCTCGTGTATTGTCGCCGTCGATTTTTTTTCAGGCACGTGCAAACATTGTGCTTCTTTGTTGTCTGGATTTACATTAGACTGCGTCAATCAGGAACAAAAAAGAAAGTTCTGTACTGAATTACATCATAGCGCCCTGTTACACTGACGACTGAATTGAAATATTCTTTTCTATTATATGTTTTTGTTACAGAGAACTGGCCTAGTGGTAGAGTGTCCGCCCGGAGAGCGGAAGGTCCGGGGTTTGATCCCAAGCCGCGTCATTCCAAAAGACGTTAAAAAATGGTACTTGTTGTCACCCCGTCTGGCGCTCGGCATTAAGGGGCTAAAACAAGAACTAGTCGGCACAGAGTCAGTATACTGATTGTGGTATTCATGTAAACAGAGGCATGATATCTCAGCGAGCTAGCACTATAAATTCGTCATTAGTCCGGACTAGTGCAAACAGACACACACACACACACACACACACACACACACACACACACACACACACACACACACACACACAAAAAAAAGAAAAAAAGAAGTGCATGCACCTCACCTACAGTAAACAATAAACTAAAGCGAATCATTTCATAAATATTAATGAAGCGAAATTAAAATTGATGCAGTATTCGTGACGCCTTGCCAAATTGAACGTTTTCCAACTTTGCAAATGATACTTATCAAGACCATTATTCATACCAAATGAAAAGGCCAGAAAAGTGAGCTGCGATCACAGACACTCAGGTGAATAATTGCTATGATTAGATGCTGTATGTTCTCTGCTTCATAGCATTTATTCACCTGATGAAGGAGAAAGCATATACTCCAAAACGTTGTGTTCCTCATAATAAAGAAGTTGACATCCATAAATTCTCGTACTTATTAGTGGTGTAACGATACGGCGATACAGTATTGTATCCCGATGCACAGCCCACGATACGATGCATCGATTTGGAAAGCATGTATCGCGATACATACGATATTTTCATAACACAGTTTTACCTACCGTATTTTCTTGAGTATAGTGCGCACTTTTTTTTCCAAAAAAATTCATCTGTGTAGAAGGGGTTGCGCATTATACACGAATTAATGAGTTTTTATGTTTTTTACCCCATGGAAAGACATGTCCGTGAGCACGTAACACCGGAAATACCATGTCAACAAATCCATACTGAAGTTCGCAAATTATTCATGTACTTACACTGGCTATAAAAAAAAGTGTTCTTTGTATATCTGGACTAATGTTTGTAACTTATTTCATTAATTTTATTCATAATTCCTTTTAATATTGTTTAATTAATTTTGGCGAAATGTGTGAAGCGATCGGAAGATCGCACAACTCACCGTTAATAACAGAAACCACGGTCAGATTACCGCTATTGACGCCTTGAAAGAAATTTTAGTTGACAGAGAATGGATACATATATCATAAATGCCATACTTTGATTCGTTAAAAGTCAGATTTGTTTTTGTTGGACGATTCTATGTCAACACGTAATTCTCGCGACCACGCGATCACGTGCACGGGAGCCTTGACGGTGACTGGTCAGACTGGTTCCATGTAAAAAATAATACCCGGCAATAGCGATCAGCTGCTTCGCTTAGGGTTATTATTATTTTAAATATGTTAAGTAAAAGCTGCATCTAAATTAACAATATATTGGAATATATTATTCCTGATAAAAAAATAGTTCCAGATACAACTTTTGCCGATCCTTGCATTAAAATCCTGTAAAGTTATATCATTGGGTGTGTCTTGACCGAATCACCGGTAGATTCCAAGAAAACGTGTGTACATGTACAGCTGATTGCTGTGTCCGGCTTAGTTTACGAGAAAATACACAAGGTAATCTTAATCCCTGGATATAAAACAATGCCTAGCTGAACAAAAAATACAATTTAAACGGTAAATCAACATGTCTGGTGATTTTTTATCTCAAATTTCAAATTTGTACTGACGAAGTTTCTCATCACCCGTTCGTTTGCCGGACTTCGCTGAAGGGGTACGCTGTAATTGTTTTCTGCGCATAATATTCAAATTTCTTTTTTTCCAAAATATTGAACCCGCTAGAGGGGCGTGCGCATTATACGTTGGTGCGCACTATACTAAAGAAAATACATGAAATACATGGGCGGATACAGTTTTTTTGAAAAGGGGGGGGGGGGCGGGGTGCACAATTAAGATCTATTTATTTTATTTGGTGGTAATTTATACAGAAATAAAGATTTTTTTCGAAATAAAGAAGGAGGGGGGTTCGCGCCCATGAAATACGTTTAACAGTTTCAAAGACAGTTTGTTGTTTCAGTAAAACATACTGTATTGCTGACATTTTGCTATAACAGTAAATAAACACCTTATATCTTCTTCAACTGTACTTGTCACATCTTTTAGATAGCAGAAAGACATCAACTTGGCTTAGCTTCTACCAATAAACACTGTATCGTGATACGTATCGTATCGCGACCCTCCCGTAGCGTTACACCTCTAGTACTTATGAAACATATGGATAATATTCTGTAAAATTCCTTATCTTGAAACAGATACTTTTGTAAATGTAGCTATACAGGTCTACTGTTAGACTAACATTTAGTCTCTGAAATCTTATATTACACAATATCCTTCTTGACTCTAAAAATAAAAATAAAATTCCCTATGCCAGCTTGAGCTGGCTAGACTTGCTTTTGTATGCATTTCTAGATTATGTTCTTTTCATAAAATAAATATATTCCACGGTCATGGTGCAGGACTAGTCTACTGTAGTCTGACTGGCATTGGGTTGTCTCGTCCATCACATGAATGAGTGAGTGAGGTGTATTTAAAGCAGCTTTGAACAGTATTCCAGTTATATCACGGCATGTGAGCTTAATGTGGGAGGAAAGCCTGAAGTGATGCAGGTCTCAGACTTTACCACTTCGGTGAAACCCACGAGCACGGGTATGGTGCTGACAAACCTAGAAACATAATCGGGGCGCACCTCATCTCTTGAATGTTTACGGTCGCAAGGCAAGAGAGCTGCTGTGCGGCGTCGGACACTTGACGAACACGTTTCTCACCACCATTGTGTGGGAGGCGGATGATACACGTAGGGCAGGACACGCTGATCCTTGTCGCGAGAACCTGGAGTCTTCACTGATTTTCAGTGATCCATTCATTTAAGTTTCACTGTTATTCTACCTTTACGCCCGGTGGATTCTGTTTCAGCGGATGATCGCAACTAATTGTCACCTTATCATGCTTCTTCAGACGGATTGTGACATTATTATGTTTTCTGTTAAACAAATGATCCTTGTCATTCTGAATAATCTATGTAATCATTCCGCAAAAAAATTATGCGAGTTATGCGAGAGGTGTCAAATACAAACTATGATAAACGATCCTTATAAAAAAACAACACTTTATTATCGATAACTGTACAAGATGAAGAATGATTAAGGCTCTTTGAAATGAAATGTCGTTTGTCAAAATACATTTTATCAACACAAGAGGACATTTCGAAAGGAGCTATATGTCACTGTGATCTCTTGCAGCGAACGCATCATACGTTTTTCACATGTCGCCGATGTACAAATCTGTTGGCACTTTCAGAGATGGAACAGGAAATTAAACTGAAATTTGCCATGGATGGATGTTACGACTTAAGAGACATAATTCCGTGGATACCATATACCTCTTAATCACCACTTGCACTGACGTGATCACTCAACACACAAACCGTTTGCTTTATAAAATTAAACATAACAGCACCAAACTGAACTAGCTAACGGTAGTAGATTAAATACCCTTACGAATATGTGGACAGTGTATTCAGCAATAAAACGCAAACATCATTCTTTATGGAAAGTTACTGTTTTCTGGTAGTTTGGGACATATTTATACTGAGGTAAAATATAACAGGAGTAATGGAAGGTACATGGTACTTATGAATGTCGAGTGACACGCGTTAGAACGAGTTCATCTTTCTAAATTGTATGTCAAAAGATTTGACTCTCAAACCTTCCCGATATCAGAAATATGCAACAAAACTTTGCCTCCGTTGCTACTGTATATGTTTCTTCGACGAGTCTCAGAAACGGGAATGATTGGCCATGTAGCTTGGAAACAACTGCCAAATGGCAACAGTACATAACTAGCCTATACATTAAACTGTCAAATTCACCACCCGCCATCCCAAGAAATGTCTGTGCCGTCAACGGTGGCCCGCATGCCGTAACGGTTGACGACCGTGCCATCTCTGCCATCACCCGCAGTGACCACACCGCCTCCGGGGAAGCGAGGGTCGTTGTTGATCTGCATGCCAGGGATGTACATTCTGTTCATCATGACCCAGTACTGAAGGAGCTTCTGGTACGGAGACATCCCTTGTTGATAATTGGCATAGTATGGCTGATAGACAGGTACAGGCGACGGATTCTGTAAAGAGTATGTGGTGCCACCCACCGAAGCGTTCTGACTTTGGGCTTGACTTTGACCTTGAAGAAGCAGGCTTATTAGGTCAATGTTTCCCGAATCTGAAATTAAAAGGACAGTGGTCAGATAGAATGTTCTGACAATTGTCATTAGTAAGGTGTGAGTAGATGTCGATGAAAGTCCCTATTTTGACCATCTTCCCGAGGCAAGAGAGTTAACTGACTTTAAAAGTCCAGTTTTCACCCTTGTCGAGCTAGGCTGGAATTACTGGGTTCGATCGTAGCGCCACCAGTGGCTATTACCAGTTACGTCCCTTTTAAACCTCTCATATGGACCAATCAGATTACATCACTTGCGTTTGCTTCACACAAAATGGTGGCGTCCAGTCAGGACGATCTGATCGATAATCAAGATCTATATTGTGATAAAACATGTCTTACATCGCGAAATGCATCAAATCACGTAAGCACCTTGATTAAAAACATGAAAAGATTTGGAAAAAATCTGCTGACAACGAGTTGGCGGTGTACATGCTTTGCAAATCCTGCAATCGATCGAAATCTGCATGACAGTTTACGAACCGGATTTCGATTTCGGCGCGCCATTTTGATTGGACTATGCATAGACTCGTTAGTCCAGCCAAAATCTAACTCCAAAATATCAGCCTAGTTCGGCAAGGGTGGAAACTGGACTTTTATAGTCAGTTAACTCTCTTGCCTCGGGAAGATGTATTTTGACTTGTACCATATGTTCCCTGCCTTTTTCAGGTGAACAGTTGACTTGCCTTTGCATGTGTTTATGATGGGTGCTCAGCTTTAAGCACCTACACTAATTGATAGTGATTCATAAACCAATGCTTCAGATATAGTCGGAATCGAACAACGGACTTTGCTTTTAGCAGAGGTTTCTTACGGTTATGATATACGAACAGCATGTTTATTACACCCTGGTGTCGTGTATGGATTAATACAAATACCTTTATCAACAAGTATTTTCAACAAATTGTTTGGTATATACTGGGAGTAATTTATATAAAACGTCAACGCCTGAGAATTATATGTCTCGTTTATCCGCCGAAAAAGGTTCCATAGTAGCAGTGAAAATTATATGAATGGATCACTGATAATCAGTGATGACACCAGGTGTTCTCGAAAAGGGTAAGCATTTATAGAAAACTATTGCACGTACAGCGTATCCAGTTCTATCGTGTGAGGGGTAGACGTACTTACACGGGCCTGCGAAAATTATGAAAATGGATCATTGAAAATCAGTGATGACACCAGGTGTTCCCGAAAAGGTTCTATCGTGTGAGGGGTAGACGTACTTACACGGGCCTGTGAAAATTATGAAAATGGATCATTGAAAATCAGTGATGACACCAGGTGTTCCCGAAAAGGTTCTATCGTGTGAGGGGCAGACGTACTTACACGGGCCTGTGAAAATTATGAAAATGGATCATTGAAAATCAGTGATGACACCAGGTGTTCCCGAAGAGGTTCTATCGTGTGAGGGGTAGACGTACTTACACGGGCCTGTGAAAATTATGAAAACGGATCATTGAAAATCAGTGATGACACCAGGTGTTCCCGAAAAGGTTCTATCGTGTGAGGGGTAGACGTACTTACACGGGCCTGTTAAAATTATGAAAATGGATCATTGAAAATCAGTGATGACACCAGGTGTTCATGAAAAGGTTCTATCGTGTGAGGAGTAGACGTACTTACACGGGCCTGTTAAAATTATGAAAATGGATCATTGAAAATCAGTGATGACACCAGGTGTTCATGAAAAGGTTCTATCGTGTGAGGAGTAGACGTACTTACACGGGCCTGTTAAAATTATGAAAATGGATCATTGAAAATCAGTGATGACACCAGGTGTTCATGAAAAGGTTCTTTCGTGTGAGGAGTAGACGTACTTACACGGGCCTGTTAAAATTATGAAAATGGATCATTGAAAATCAGTGATGACACCAGGTGTTCCCGAAGAGGTTCTTTCGTGTGAGGAGTAGACGTACTTACACGGGCCTGTTAAAATTATGAAAATGGATCATTGAAAATCAGTGATGTCACCAGGTGTTCCCGAAGAGGTTCTATCGTGTGAGGGGTAGACGTACTTACACGGGCCTGTTAAAATTATGAAAATGGATAACTGAAAATCAGTGATGACACCAGGTGTTCCCGAGAAGGGGAGGAATTTTTAGAAACCTATTGCACGTACAGCGTATATTCTGTCGTGTGAGGGGTAAAGGTACTTACACTGGCCTGTGGCTTGTGGTTGTTGTTGTGCGAATCTCCGTTTACCTGGCATCAGAAAAATAATCAGACATTAAACATCAGACATCACAAGTTATGGTAATAATCACAAATACATGCAGCCATTGTATACATGTAATACTCTTATGGTTTTAATTCCTTAATTTTCTATACAAACAAGCCCGTAACTACACATGATATACATTATTGTTTTATAAACGCAGGTGTATATTTAAGAAGGGAGTCAGTGGGTTGGGTTTAACGTCGCTTTGAACAGTATTTGAGTTTGTTTTGTTTTTTGTTCATTTTTCACTATGTCACAGCCAGGCATCTTAATGTGGTAAACCCAAGAAAATGGGAATGGAGCTGGTAAACCTAGAAACATGATTAAGGGGAAATCTGGGATTTGTTTCCGGCGCTAGGTGGCGCTTTGGGCGGCGAATTGTAGATGGAATGTGCATAATGTCTTACGCAGTGACTTGCATCCTGCCAGGCTACAGCAGCAGGCAATCAGGATGACGATGGGGATGTACCTCATTTCCATTTCTTCTTCTTCTTCTTCTTCTTCTTCTTCTTCTCCCTGAATTAGAAACAATGAAAGGATGATCAAATACGCCTCTTGTCATCCCTTCCACGGCGTTCTATATTTACAGCGTCATGGCCTCGACATATTCCATACATATCCTAATCCACCATTTTGATTTCGGGTTGGAATTCGTCAACAGCAACCTATACCAAGAGACGACTTTTAATGGATTATTGGATCGGGTGGTGGGGCTCGGTGACTAGTCTGACAGATGGTTACCCGATATCGTGGATCGTTGCTCACAATATCGATCACTCGTTTGTCTGACCCAGACGCGACTGTTTACAGGCCTCCGTCTTATTGGAGGCGTATTTGTCAATTTTTAACACACAACGTTGAATTCATTTTAAGTCTACTTGTATTTGCTATTGTAAATGTAAGACTGTACTGTTACAAATGATAAATCTCCATGTACATGAGCGGCGGTCGGGTAGCCTAGGGGTTAAAGCGTTCGCTCTTCACGCCGAAGATCCGGGTTCGATTCCCGACATGGGTACAATGCGTGAAGCCCATTTCTGGTGTGCCCCGCCGTGATATTGCTGGAATATTGCTAAAAGCTGTGTAAAACCATATTCACTCACTCACTCAGCCATGTATATGACTGATAAAAGAATATTAAATATCATGTGTATCATGATACTGTTATAATTATAAACCAGTTCCAATCATACATAATGATACCAATATTCTATGAAATGACATCATCTGATTCCGTGACAACCGAATCCACCTGGTTATAGAACGCGATGGAAACTAAATCGAAGTTGTTACCAATTACAAGTGATTCTGTATAGTTTTCGTCATACCCAATGGAACGTTTTAATTTGGGTTGAGTAAGAAAATGAAAGCTTCAAAATCCTATCTATTATCATATCAAAGAGTGACCGGCCACAAACGCATGCAAAGGCAAGTCAAGTGTTCACCCGAACAAACAGGGGTGCATATGGTTCAAGTAAAAATATTTTATTGCATCGGAAATCAGTTTATGATAAAGTCGGAATCGTACAATCGAATGATTTGTTAAAAATAATCAAAGGATTTTGTCGCTTTTTTTTGACACGGATGCGTCCAAAAACACATTATGTGAAGAAAGAAATCATAAACATGAAAATTCCCCAAATTCCTCATGATCCCTTCCAGTTACAACGTTTTAACCTTATCTGATTGCAGTACACATTCCCAGTCATTGTACAAGGATGATTGTCATTTGATTTTTATAAGTCACAAGAGTGAGTGAGTATGGTTTTACGCCGCTTTTAGCAATATTCCAGCAATATCACGGCGGGGAACACCAGAAATTGGTTTCACACATTGCACCAATGTCGGGAATCGAACCCGGGTCTTCGGCGTGACGAGCGAACGCTTTATCCACCCGGCTACCCGACCGCCCAATCCGCCACAAGAGATGACAACGTTCGTTGGTTGACAGTAATATCTGGGATAGTGTAATACAAACAGGGCAAGTATGAAAAGCTTACTTACCTTTTTGAACTAGCGGTGTCCGAATACAATCAGCAATGATATTCAACTGGCTGTGTTTGTTTTCAATCGCTCTTTAAATACGACGTCATTCGGGAGGATGCGCACGAAAACAGGCCAACCGAATTTTCCGTTAACTCAACATGGAAATGAAGCTGTATTTCATAAGAAATACATGTTGACGTTATTGTTGACCTTGAGGTGTAGATGTTGTTTGTTAGTATATAGATAAGCATGTTAATGTCCTTTTCTATACTGCCTGAACGTGTCCACGAAACTGTTTGACAAGATGGATTACACGAAGTAGCCATTACTGTCTGTTTAAAGGATATTCTTTGGTTTGAAGGAATTCATTGTTTGAGATGTGGCAAGAGAAATGCCTAAGGTTATTCCCCATTCAGGTAAACAACAGCCAGAGTTCAAACGAAGGTTAAAAGGGATTTTCACACAGATAGCACAAACTATGTGGAAAGTTTAATAAGCACCGTTACGTACATACGTACATTGTCTTTTTAAATGCCCCTTGAAGATCCGGGTTAGAATTATTGTTCTTCAGCAGGCCATGCTTGAGGCGACAGGGATCGGGTGGTGCGACTTGGTGGAAGCGTTTCATCGTATCCCAATTGCGTACATCGATGCTCATGATAGGTCTACCTTCAAACTAATTGTTGTATCCGAAGGTGAATTATAAGTAATTACGTGGTTGAAAGGGAAAATAACCAAAGCCAATGCAACTGTCAGAATGGCTGGTTGGTTGGTTGGTTTGTTGTTTTACGCCGCACTCAGCAATATTCCAGCTGTGATGACGGCGGTCTGTAAATAATCTTGTCTGGACCAGACAATCCTGTGATTAATATCATGAGCATCGATCCACGCAATTGGGATCGATGACATGCATTAACCAAGTCAGCGAGCCTGACCACCCGATCTCGTTAGTCGCCTTTTACGACAAGCATAGTCACCTTTTACGGCAAGCATGGGTTGCTGAAGACCTATTCTAACCCGGAATCTTCACGGTTGTCAGAATGGAAACGTATTTACGAACCAATCAAACAAACAATTATGTAACGCCTGTTTTACAGCTCCTACTCGTCTGCAAAATTTAAAAATTGTCAGTTGATTAAATTATTCATACAAAAACACGTGGTCGTATTCCATCTGTTCACAGATAGTGTTTGGCTTTGCTATAACATGTATATTGCTGTTGCCTATTAATGTGCAAAACTATTCACATTAAGCCATCCAAAAATCCATTAATATTTGAAGATGCCAAGGCTCCTGCTTAAAGAGTTATGTCTGAGTTTATGAATAAAGTGGTTTTAGACAGTTCAGTCACCTTTGTCGCATGTTTGCGAACGTTGACCTTGACCGAGCGGTCAAATTGGTCAGTGAACTCCCCTTGAGGTCACGGCAAGGAACATAAGGTCACGACGGTAGATCACCCTAATGCCAGGCTGTCAACGTTAACACGTCGTACACTGATGCCGGGGCAGGCCTCGCTGTCTATCCAGTAATCAGGCGTAATTATGATAGATGCCAAAACATGTACTTTATTCGCCCGTAAACCATACAGTTTCTCTCGGTATTTCTATTCGTGCATCACGAATAAGTATTGCTGCGCGGATAATGAAACTCTTTAAAGTCCTTTATATTAACCCGATTAAGTATATGTCCTATTGAATAGGTAGTTCAATAAAGTAGGCGTATATATCAGTGTACAGGTGTAGATTTACGTATTCTACCATTGCGAAGTCTTTTGTCGTGGGTTTGAATCCATTTTTAATTCACATTGATCACGCTTGTAGGTTTGTCAGCACCAAACCCTTGATGATGCCACCGATTGGCTTAACGTCTACTTCCTGCATCAGGTCACCTCGGGTTTTTCTCCCACATTCAGCTGACACGCCGCGATATAACTGGAATATTGTTGAAAGCAGCGTTAAACCCAACTCACTCACTCACTCCCGCATCAGGCGACTTTGCATGTGGTAAGAGGCGACTAACGGGATCGGTTGGTCAGGTTCGCTGACATGCATATGGTTGATGCGTGTCATCGTATCCCAATTACGTGGATCGATGCTCATGATGTCAATCACTGGATTGTCTGATCTAGACTCGATTATCAACAAGCCTCCGCCATATAGCTTGAATATTGCTGAGTGCGGCGTTAAACAACAAACAAACAAACTTCCTGCATCACTTTGGTTCTGACCACAACACAGCCATGATATGACTACAACACAAACTCATCACAGCGATAGCCCGTTTGCGGAGCTCTCTATACCATAGCTGCTATCAGTCACAACTCCCGACCGTGACAGGTGGCCACAACCATGCATGGAGTTCAACTCTCCACCGACTACTGTTATGTTTACAAACAAGTGACGACTGTCGTGAAACAGAATACTCCTCCCTGAGCTGAAATATTGTCAATGTTTGTCAGTTCTATTTTCTATTTCTCTGTTTAACTACCATGTTAGTAGTATAATAAGAATGTAAGGGGGAAGTGCTTTTCTGTTAGTCTGCAATCCTGGCCCAATCTAATTAAAGGGCAAGTAACTCAACAAAGCATCTTTGCAGATTGAAATACTTTAGGGCATACTTAATCACAGATATTTGACCAAAATTAAATAAAAATTGAAAAAAAGCGTAAAACAGACGATAAAAAGCGACAGGCGAAATCGTCCTCCAAACGAAAAGTTCCGCCACTGAGGGATTCCACTTACTGGTCTTAAAACGGGTTCCCGGTGTTTGAAGCGCGGCGCAATTTCACAGCCGCCAAGTCCGCCTGGTGGTTTATTGAGGGTCTTCCTACTTGTCAATCACCTTCTGTTATAAGAATAAATTCACCCGAACGGGGTGATTGGTAAGGCAATAGGGGATTAATTAGGCCATCTCACATAAGGCACATCTAATTGGTGAATATCTCACACAATATAACGACACAACTAATAGGTGAACTATTTTCACATACACTGTCCTGAATGAAAACATTTAAAATATAAATGAGTGAGGGAACGTAATAATCGTTTTGTATGATTTTGGTAAAAATGGAATCAGAGACAACAGTATTTCCACCATTAAATCCGACAGTAAATCAGCCATCTCGGACCATATCAGCAACTGTCCTAATCACAACATCCACTGGGACAACGTCCACATCCTCTGCAACAACCTCCATGAATGCACTAAAAGAAACACTAACTGAAGCATTCCACATTCGCCGCCACAAGCTATCAATCAACAGAGATCAAGGCTATTTCATCCCATTCGCCTACTATGAACTCATCAAGCAATAATCACTAAACCTGTTTAATTGGCTTCATGTCCAATTGGCTTCCCCCTATATGTTCTCTGTCCATCGCGTTGTGACAGTATTATCCCCTTGTTGTCAACACCTACCTATGTTATCCCACTCATATATTCAATTGTTGTTACTGTTAATCCTCTACTGTTAACCCCCCACCTACTATATATATCCTGTACTATGTCCCTCATTCAAAGCATGAACATGGTCCAAAATTTACTCCAAAAATCTCTTGATAAAATACAACAGTGGGCAGACAAATGGGGCTTCTCCCTTAACTCAGAAAAAACAACAGGAATAGTATTCAAACATAAAAACATGAAACCCGCCTCCCCAATCCTCCAGCTAAACAATCAAACAATCAAATTTCAAAAACAAACCAAATTCTTAGGACTTATTTTCGATGAACATCTCACCTGGGATGCTCACATCCAAAACCTAACAACTAAATGCAGTAAAGACCTAAACACCCTAAGATGCCTAACTGGCTCTAACTGGGGAGCATCCAAAGATACCCTCCTCTCTCTCTACATATCACTAATTAGATCAAAACTAGACTACGGCTGCGCCATATACAACACCCTAAACAACTCTCTATCTAAAAAACTTGACTCAATACAATATCAGGCTCTCAAACTAATTACACGCACCCAACATGGCACCTCCTACACCTCACTTCAGGCCTTAACAGGAGAAATGCCACTAAGTCTACGCAGGGAACAGCTAAGCTTAAATTTCTGGGCCGCGTCCCAATCAAACCCTCTCATTCAAAACTTAATAAACCAAAACATCAGCCCCAAAAACCAAGCTCTAGCTCGTAAACACCCCTTACTTACCCCAATATCCCAAAGAATAACAAACTACCTAAATGAACACCAAATTAAAAATCTTAAACAAAACTGCAAACAATCAAATATCTTCACCCCTAAACTTAAAATACCCAAAGACACAACACTAGCTAGCCAAATAAATAAACAAACCGACCCAAACATAGCTAAAACTACCACACTAACATACATACACGAAAATTGGCCAAATTGGTGTCACATTTACACGGACGGATCCTCAGATCCGACCTCCAAACACACAGGTTTCGGAGTCCATACCACACAACCAACTAAAACCACACAATCCTTCCGACTCCCAAACAACCAATCAATATTCACGGCAGAACTAATGGGCATGGCCTCAGCCCTCCATAATCAAGAATCCAAAAACCACAAAAAAATCCTAATACTTACCGACTCCCTAAGTGGACTGCAAGCCCTCCAAAACAAAAATACCAAAAACCGACCTAAATTAATAAATCAAATACTTAAAAGCTCCAACGACCTAACTAAGGCAGGCAAACAAATAACCTTCTTGTGGATACCCGCCCACGTAGGAATATACGGTAATGAAAACGCCGATAAAGCAGCTAAACTATCCCTCAAAATCCCAGAAATAAGCTTAAACTTACCCATCTCAAAATCAGAAATTAAAAGTGTAAACAAGCAAAAAATCACCAAAAAATGGCATAACCTATATCTAAACTCAAATAGCCAAATCAAAAAAGTGCTCAGCAAACCACTAACCAAACCAAAAATTCTCCATCCATCCAAAAAAATCGACAGAGTAATCACTAAACTCCAAACAGGACACACCAACCTAAATAACCACCTAAAAAAAATTAAAAAACATACTACAGGTAACTGCCCACACTGCAAACAACCAGAAACCCCAGAACACGCACTCATCCACTGCACACACTACCTAACACATCGAACCGCATTACAAACCACCCTCAATCTAAACAAGGCTCTAACTCTAGAAGCAATACTAAACCCACAAAATAAACTAGAAAACTTCAAGGCCTTAGGCGTATTCTTAATCAAAACGGATCTAATAAAACGCATCTAAAAACACAATAACTCACCAAATCAAAATCACATAAACAAACAAACATCCACCATACCCAGCTCCCTTAGTTCTCCTCCCCAATCCCATCGGCATCTATTCCAAATCTCAAAATTCCCAAATTCCATATAAGCAACCCCTAAAACCCCCCTCTTGGGTTGCACAGACCACCTTCGCCCCTTTCGGAAACACATTAAATGGCCTGGCCGGGCCCGTGTGCGAAATACGCATCAGTCAGAAAGCGCACGTTAAATCTCCAAAGTAAGTAAGTAAGTACCCTCATTCAGTCTTGCTTGACAACGATATAAGGATCTATACCGAAACGTCGCTTTTTACAGTATTAAGAAGTTGTTATCCATAAAATTGTGTCTACCTTGTCATCCGCCAACTTCTAAGTAATGCATATCAAACAAAGTATTTCACTGTGGCAAATGTGCAGGTGGAGTCCCAGAGATAAGTCGGCACTTGGCGTTTCCCGGATACAAGTGTATGATTGAGTAAGTGAGTGAGGGAATGAGTTAGTTTAACACCGCTTTTCAGTATACCAGTTATATCACGGCGTGTCAGCTTAATGTGGGAGGAAAGCCCGAAGTGATGCAGGTCTCAGACGTTTACCACTTCGGTGAAACCCACGAGCACGGGTATGGTGCTGACAAACCTAGAAACATAATCGAGGCGAACCGGGATTCGAACCCACAATCATAGGTTTCTGGCGTGTCCAAGGGACGCAACTCTGCACAGCGAATCGCGGCGCCTTAGACGACTGGGCTACCCGTGCCCCCGTGTATGATTGAGGCCAGACATCGAACTCCCATCCATTGGAAATGTTCCGAAAGAGGATGTCCAACCACACTTAACAACTACGATGACTTTACGGAACACAATAATATGTTACTGTGCAATTGATCGACGCTAGCAAATCATCTGGAAGGGGGCATCCAAATCAGTACAAATTCATTGAGACACTGCAGGTTGAGCAGGATAATACTGCGATCACGATCCAGTTAGTTTGATGTCACCTAAGAAGAAGACGTGAGTATCGGAACCTTCTGGACAATGCCCTGGGGAGCGAGAAGAGACAACCTCAAGCCAACTAGTTGCCGGTCCAGTGTTTCATGCCCCCCTCACCACCAAGTCTCCGAGCCTGACCTTGACCGCCCGATCCCGTCAGTCGCTTCTTACGACAAGCATGGGTTGCTCAAGACCAGTTCTGACACGGGTCTAAACGGGTACCGTTTGTTACACCCAAACATGGTGTGACTAATATTATGTTAGGTACAGATTGTTTATATTGTTATTATTCATTATTCACAATATCAAGATCTAAGGTGACGCTTCACACATTCAACAACGCATGCAATGTTGTTAGTTTTGGAGGATTAACTGATATTGCAGAAACAGTATTGCCGCCAAGAATTACATATTCAATAAAAACTTTGTCCGGCACCGCTGTACCTTGAGGCCACCCCCCCCCCCCCCCCCCCCCCCCCCGCGCACACACACACACACACACACCACACACCACACACCACACACCACACACACACACACACAAGGTTTGCTTTAGAAGCCGATTACGGGGCGTGTCATTTTAGCACTTTTACTTGGACATTTAAATACTTTCCACAACATTCTAATTTCTCTCTCGGAAATTGACTAAATATATCTAGGGAAAATGATATTCGCAACACAATCGCAATAATTGTTTTCAGTTTACTTGCCCTTTAAACAATCAAAATGTAAATTCATCTGGGAATAAGTAAGTTAGTCGTACACCTTTTAAAAATAAACTATGATGGCATTTCCAAAGGCATACGCAAAAGTATAAACGCCATGGGGGGGGGGGGGGGGGGGGGGGGGGCAATTTCATATTCTTGTGATGGCGGGTAAGGAGTTAGGTCTCCTTTCACCTATCCTTGTCGTTAGAGGCAACTACGTATACCCCGGGGAGTGAGGCTCGGTGATGTGGTTGGATTGATTGCATTAATTACATCGCATCCCAGTTGCGTGGATTGATACTCATGATGACAATCACTGGATTATCTGGTCCACACTCTATTATTTACAGACAGCCGTCATATAGCTGTAACATTGGTGAATGCCACGTTATATACAGCCAAACAAACAAATACATTCACGCATGTACTTGTTACGGTATCGAATGTAACGAACACATTTACCATTAAACTTTATACACACACACGTTCACATTCAGTGTGATTGACACGTGACCAGCACTGTGTATGCACACAGAAACATAATGAGAAACAAACAAGTTGTGATAAAAAAGATTTATTTGGGTTCTAAGACACGACAGCAATGTTCAAAAGATCGTATACTATAAAACATGTGTCACATAGCACCGAGTCGGACGGGGTGACATGGTACACAATCCAGACTGGACATAACTCTTGACCAGGATGTTACACGCCGATGACCATCCATTGACCCAACAAAGCCACAAACGAGGCAACAGAAAATAATATAAAACGTCCCTGTCCCGCAGGAATGGTCTGAAAAAGAAACACACGCTCACTATATCTAAATGGAATAATTTAAAGCATGGATATATATTTTTGAGTCCATTAACGACCATATATCCCTCCTTCTCTTGAGATGTCAGAACCGTCAACAGATGTCACCGTCCCATCAGGGCTGACCACCGTCCCATCACTCCCATCCCCTCTTGTTACAATACCCCTGCCCCCGGGGAACCTGGGGTCGTTGGTGAAGCTTTGCCCTGGAACAAGGCGCCGGTTTCTCATCATCATGTAGCTCAGGAACTGCTGGAACTGCGCCAAGGCCTGAGGGTTGTTGAGGAAGCCAGGGAAACCACCATATTGAGGCATCGGTGGCTGATTGGGAACTTGACCTTGAATTTGACCTTGACCTGGCAATGAAGGTGCGTACTGGTTCACCTGACCTTGACCCCGAGGTTGTCCCTGATTAAAAGGTATGCCCATTTGATTGGGATTTGCACTCCATAGTGTATCTGTAAATGAGAAATGACATCTTAAGATAATGTTATACATCGACATGGAGATGCAGAAGATGTACATTCACATCTGCATCAAATCCAAAGGAGGAATGTCGGAATTATTTAGCTTAATGTTTGGGCGAGGTGAGACAGTTGACTCCGTTTAGAGTTTAATAAAGTCATCAGTCATCCTCCAGTTGTGCACTTTAAAAACATTTAGGAACCATTTAGCAACCTTTTATTTTGTTGGTCAGATGTTTGTATTGACAACTTTGGTACCCGTGAATATCTGGGTTACAATAGGTCTTCAGCAACCCATGCTTGCCGTAAAGGGCGACAGTGCTTGTCGAAAGAGGCTACAAACAGGATCGGGTGGTCAGGCTCGCTGACTCGGTTGATGCATATCATCGTATCCCAATTGCGTTGATCGATGCTCATGGTATCAATCACTGGATTGTCTGTCCCAGACTCGATTATTTATAGACCGCCGTCATTATAGCTTGAATGTTGCTGAGTACAAAAAAACAAAACCGGAATGTATCCGGCGCCGAAAACACTCGGAGTCCAAATCGCAAGGTATTCGGAAGTTGTTCGGAAACGGAAAGTGAACACATTCGTAAATATGAAATCAGTATGGGGACGTATTATGAGTGAACATGGGTTTCAAACTGTCGACAGCAGGTCCTAACAGCTAGGGAACACAAGTCTCATCACCCTTCAGAGAAACCTGCATAAATACAGCACCACCCTGTCCGTCATGGTTCTGAATACCGATCAAATATCGATGTGCAGATGTAAATGATATATCGAAGATTTATACTCACTCATTGATCTGCTATACCCGAGTGCACAACATACCGACACGAGGAAGATTATAGGAAGGCTGTTCATGTTCTGAAGCGAAAATACAGAGTTTCAGTTATGTGCTGTACATTCAGCTGCAGATAGACCACTGGGTGGAATTTGATAGCAATTCTAGCAATTTAGAATTATTTAGATTAATTAAATAATTTAATAAATCGCTCAAAAATTGAATACGGTGTTAACATCAATAATCACCATAGAACATAGCGACTATGCACGAATGATTATTCATCAGCCCAGAAAAACTATTTTTTATGATATTTTAACGTTATAACATACATGAATAGAAGAACTAACAAAAAATTAATGTTAATTGAATTCAAGCAATTTAAAATGCGTTTTGTTTTCAATGCTTAAAATACTAACAAGCTATGAACGAGTGCTTACCTCAGTCCTGATAGATGCTTCGGTTCACTACAAAGGCAGACGAGGTACTGCTTCAACGGGATACAGGGGCGGTTTTTATAGCACGATGTCGTGATGCAAGTCGGAGGGAGGATGTAATCTACGCAGTTTATTTACAACACGTTTCCTGGGTACACGACGTGTCCGCTCGTCAACTTTGGAATTTGAGGGAAACAATGCCTAGCCATCAGGCACATTTATGATAGATATATGTTTTGACACTTTTCAGTCAGGTCAAGGAAAGATTCATTTTTCTGTACTGTTGTTGTCGTTATGAAATATGTCTTTTTGTAATTAGATTTATTGTTCGTGTTGTTATTGATGTGACCAATAAATCATACACATAAAACAGTTTTTGAAGACCTGGCTGTCAACTTGTTTTGTCACGAGTGACGTACATGGTAGCATATGTACGTCATAAATACAAGAATAGTTTTTTTCGTTTTTAATGTCTCCTATTATAAGACCAACGGTGTGTATTTCACTGTCTACTCAAAGTTTTTGTTTCCTCTCTATTTTTTTCCGAAGATCACACATAGGCATTTACGTTATTTACAATACATTATGTGTAATACGAAGTATGTACCAATCACGTGACACAGTTGCCGTGAATACACATTTAGACCCGTGAAGATCCGCGTTAGAATAGGTCTTCAGCAACCCATGCTTGTCGTAAAAGGCGACTATGCTTGTCGTAAAAGGCGACTCACGGGATCGGGTGGTCAGGCTCGCTGACTTGGTTGATGCATGTCATCGTATCCGAATTGCGTGGATCGATGCTCATGATATTAATCACTGGACTGTTTGGTCGAGACTCGATTATTTACAGACCGCCGCCATTTAGCTGGACTATTACTAAGTGCGGCAAACACACAAACGGACGGACGAATACACAATTACAATGTACAGGTTGTGAGTAGAAGGGCTTATGTGTCTAGGAGATATTAACATGTTTCTTAAATTCCATATAAAATTGCAAAACCACAGTATGATGTTTTCAGAAGCATCGTAATCAATTTCGTCAGTTAAGTCATGAACATCTGCACCGAGAAACAATGAAAGCATATCATCGTCGTCAAGCATATCTATGTTCACGTATTTATCAATCAGACATGTAAACAAATGATTTTTGTCAGACAAAAGATCCACCGTGCAAATAAATGACAATCAATGCCATAGCAATGTCGATTACGAAGGTTACATTCTAAGTCCCATTACACCTCACCTCACATATTTACAGGGTAAGTTACTGTTTATGATAATTCTGCCATATTTGACAGTCAAAAACTAAGAAAAACGCATGCTGACATGAGGCAACCTTGCCACACACCTTGTTTGATGGGAAACTCATCACGTCGTGATGTGCACAGTGCACAGGTCACAACTCGGAGACTAATTGGATGGGTGACCGCGATCGTGATACTATCCAAAAGTATATTCCATAATTTCAACTTGATACCAAGGCCATGTAACTGTGTTTGAACGGGGGACTATGTGCGGGAGGTAATATACACGCCTACATCAGAGAGTGAATCAGAATTCAGATCTTAAATGCTTCCAATGCCTGTAACAGTAAATGACAATTTGTCGCCCATCTATTGTCAGTCTGTAATATTTTCCACGAGTGTTATTGTAGTAGGAACACTAATCTAGGGGTATATATCTTTGTCCATACCGGTACTCGGGGGTTCCACCAAAGTGGTAAGCAGTTAAGATCTCATATCAAGCTCACACGCCGTGATATAGCTGAAATCGGCATTAAACCCAACTCGCTCACTCACTCACTCACTCACTCACTCACAAAAGCGACCATGTACGTCAGTGTCATGATATTGGATTGGAGTTTGTATGTCACGACAACGACCGGACTAGGTACGTCATAGTCATGTTCGACAGGTCACGGTATACCGCGTGACACAGACGTGCCCCCAGCGAACGTGAAAAAAACACGACATGACAGGTTGAATGACCAGCTACTGTCCACTGGTCTGGCAACAACACCCGTCATCAAACACATCAGAATATACACTCGCCTTCAGCGTCCTAGATAACTAAAAATCATTAATATCGACAATGACGCTGCACGTAGAAAGGACATATGACATGGTATCGGAACAGCATCCTGTCTTCTTGTTCAACACACTGCATCTATACGGTTGTGTCCTCAATACATTAATTACTCCGCTAAACCTGTCTTTTGCATTGTGATAAATACAAGCGACAAACTCTTTCAAATATCATAAGACATTTCTGATAATAGAAAGCAGAGTCGATTGTACAGCTGTATGGTGTTTCTTTAGAAAACAGCCTGCGAAGATGCGGGTTACAATTAGTCTTCAGCAACACATACTGGATCACTGGATTGTCAGGCCCAGACTCGATTATTTACAAACCGACAACATATGGCTGGAATATTGCTAAGTCTGGCGTTAAACAATAAACAAACAATGAAACTTTAGAAAATATGTAGTACATACGAATGTTACAAAATATGATGTGATTTAATGAAAGCAAGTCAAATCGTTAGGTAGAATCAGTATCCTTGTAACGACGACAGTGTTGAATGCTGGTTGTAAGCATTAGCACACAACCTGACCTTCCGTTAATCAACGACAGACTGAGTGATGAAGCCGAGTTAAAACGGATCTCCATTTTTGGCGTCACAACAGGCAATGAAAGACTACAAAGTAATTAACACAAGCTGACTTCATCCTTTCACGTGTCTTTCTACGTGCCTCTGAACTCGCACAGCCAGTAAATCAAGATGAGAGACGTGTACCGGAGCAGCCTGATACAGCTAGGATATTTGTCAAAATGCTTTCGCCTTAGTCACGGCCCTAGATAAATCTGGATTCTACGCACCGACGTACGTAATACAGAAACTGTGTCCATTAGAGAACTAAAGCAAACATAAATTATATGTAGGGCTCTCTCACCCATGCACATTAAATCATAATTAATGTTTTCATGAACGGTATGAGTATAAGTGACAAGTTTAGTGCCGAACTGTGTTAATGGTTCAGTTTTTGTGGGCGTTGTGGATGTACATATACTAAAACTAAATATAAACGCATAAACTTTAACGCGAAGGACATGAAAACTATTTTAACAGTAAATACTTACTCACATGACACAGAAAGATGTTCGATTAACTCATGCCTGAATGCATAGAATAACGTAATTTGATTTTTGTGTCCATTCTACCAAATATAACAAAACTTCGAATATGCGTTTTCAAAGTATTTCAGTATGTAACTATTTATCATGTAAATTAAGCATTTATCCATTACACAAGTCAATGACACAAAAATGTATGCCATACTCCACTGACACATGTATGCAAATTAGACAACCGAAAACGTCACTGTTCTTTTCACGTTTTGATGTTGAAGACGTTTCAGTAGAAACAAGGGGAATGGAGCAGTGTTAACAGTGGTGCCAAATTGCCGTTAAGGGTTTCTGGTGGTTACAGATAGATGGTATTGAAATTGAGGTTGGCTATCACAGATAGAGTCTGTACATAACATGCCTGTGAGAAGTCTTGTTTCAATTTTTCAACATGGTCATTATGGAAGCCATATTTAATATATATCTTGTTGTTTTTTCCACATGCTACTGACACATTACAGACATACCTGAAATGCTGCCAAACAAAATGCACTCACACACTCAATACTGCCTATATTTGCTGAATACTATACTGCCTATATTTGCTAAATACTATACTGATTATACTTGCAAAATACTTTACTGCCAATATTTGCTCAATACTGTACAGACTATATTTGCTGCATACTATGCTGCCCATATTTGCTCAATACTATACTGCCTATATTTGCTCAATACTATACTGCCTATATTTTCCCAATACTATACTACCTATATTTTCCCAATACTATACAGCCTATATTTGCTGATAACTATACTGCCCATATTTGCTCAATACTATACTGCCTATATTTGGTCTGGTGACGTACATTCAACTAGTAAAATCCCGTACACGGAGTGTGACACGTGTAACCAATAACACACGTGTAAGGTATTACATTAGAATTATATGTGCACATAACACACAAAGTCACACACATTTATAGAACTATCCTACTCTAAACACACACAACATAGGGGTGAAAAAGTTAACATGACAACACGGCATTATGAGCACAGTGGAAGCACGAGACTGGGTGTTGAACACGGTATTATGAGCACAGTGAAAGCACGAGACTGGGTGTTAAACACGGTATGGTGAGCACAGTGGAAGCACGAGACTGGGTGTTAAACACGGTATTATGAGCACAGTGAAAGCACGAGACTGGGTGTTGAACACGGCATGATGAGCACAGTGGAAGCACGAGACCTGGTGTTAAACAAGGTATGGTGAGCACAGTGGAAGCACGAGACTGGGTGTTAAACACGGTATGGTGAGCACAGTGGAAGCATGAGACTGGGTGTTAAACACGGCATGGTGAGCACAGTGGAAGCACGAGACTGGGTGTTGAACACGGTATTATGAGCACAGTGGAAGCACGAGACTGGGTGTTAAACACGACATGATGTGCACAGTGGAAGCACGAGACTGGGTGTTAAACACGGCATGGTGAGCACAGTGGAAGCATGAGACTGGGTGTTGAACACGGTATTATGAGCACAGTGAAAGCACGAGACTGGGTGTTAAACACGGTATGGTGAGCACAGTGGAAGCACGAGACTGGGTGTTAAACACGGTATTATGAGCACAGTGAAAGCACGAGACTGGGTGTTGAACACGGCATGATGAGCACAGTGGAAGCACGAGACCTGGTGTTAAACAAGGTATGGTGAGCACAGTGGAAGCACGAGACTGGGTGTTAAACACGGTATGGTGAGCACAGTGGAAGCATGAGACTGGGTGTTAAACACGGCATGGTGAGCACTGTGGAAGCACGAGACTGGGTGTTGAACACGGTATTATGAGCACAGTGGAAGCACGAGACTGGGTGTTAAACACGACATGATGTGCACAGTGGAAGCACGAGACTGGGTGTTAAACACGGCATGGTGAGCACAGTGGAAGCATGAGACTGGGTGTTGAACACGGTATTATGAGCACAGTGAAAGCACGAGACTGGGTGTTGA